CCCCCCCCCACCACCATCACCATCATCATCATCACCTTCCCTGCACACCCGCTGATAATCACTTTCAGAGTGCTTTGCCACTGCTTTGTACTTGCCCATTTACACTATGTGCAGTGACTGGTGTTTTTCCGCACCTCGCAGTTAGTGTAAATGAGTTTCCAGGTACGGGGGAGCATATGACTTTCTTCCAGGATGCAGTGTCCACGCCTGAGCGGCCAATCACTAAGCCTGAACACTGTCACCTGACATGAAGAAGGAAGAAGGCTCTGACACCATGCAACACCATTTTTGGAGATGGAGATCAAAGAAGAAGTGGGGCCCATTAATGGTTTTGCTAAGGGGGCTTGTTACATGTTTCAGCCCGGAATTCACCTGTAACATGATTTTACTTTGATCCTTTCCAGTAGATCAGTTGATTTTTAACATTCCATAGCAGGGTAACGATGCTGTCTGTTCTGCAGTGGAATCATGCAGCAGCGTTGTCACCCTATGGGCAGGGTAAGTCATACATAGCCTATAAGTAAGTGAGAAACAAATCTGAATAAAAGTTGAATCTTGAGGTCGGAAGAAAGGAGGTTTAACCTCAGATTGTGAAAGGGGTTACCGTTACACCAGTCCCTTCTTCAGGTCAACAGCTGTCAAATAAAAGATTAGATCCATCCAAAAGTAAGATTTCAGTGTTTGGTAGACAATGGATAGTTAAACTTTCTTCAATCTCTTCTATCTATTGATGAGATCTCCAAGTTCCCAGTCCTGCTGTGCCAGAAATGTTTAGATGTCTTCGTAAGAGAGCATAATATACAGGGCTATAGGAGTTCTCGGATGCCACATCACACACAGGGCCGGATTTACTCTCTCTGCTGCCCCAATGCCAGGTTCCTCAATGCGCCCCCCTGTATACACCACCAAGATCACTTGTAAAAAACAAGCAGCTGCTTCCCCGCTGTACATTTAGCTCTGTTTGCCCAAATCAGGGTTAAATGTAGAAAACAACTACCCACCCGGCGCCCGGAACGGCATGTCCTGGGCATCAGGAGATAGGAATTCCACACCCCTGCTGCCCCTCTACTCCCTGCTGCCCCAAGGCCGGGCCTCGGTTGGCCTTTTGGGAAATCCAACCCCGATCACACACATAGGTTGAACTGGATGGACCTGTGTCTTTTTTCAACTTTATCAACTATGTAATTATGTGTAAGCACCCCCATGTGGTTTGTCCCAACCTCTAACTTTTCCTGGACAGCTTGGTCTGCACAAAAAAAATATATTCATCAACTTAATACTAGCTAATTTAGCTATAGTGGTCCTTTTATATTGACCTAGATCGCATCAACCAATTGCCATTCCCAGCTTGACCCTGTTGGGAGAGCAGTTGGACACCGGGTAGAACTCCAGGTGAAGTAACACAAACTGCATGCGCTTCAATGTCCAACATCTGTAGGAACATCACCCTTCTATTGCCCAATCACTTCCACTGAGCATCGCCATGCCCCTACTGCGCCACTTTGCTCTCTTGACCTTTTTAATTCCATAATTTAGTATAATTGGAAATAATGACTATTGGTCTCTCTTGGGAATGCTGCTGTCTCTGCATAGGTCATTATTAAAAAAATGTGCTCCTTAAGCAGATGCAACTAAGTAAGTCATTATCTGTCTGTCACATGCCACGTTGATGAGGCCGGCTTAACTACCATATGAGAGTAGCTTTGTCTTTCAGTTGGCAGTGCGCTAGTGGTGAGTTCAGCAAGGTCATTCCTAGCTTGCAGTTCACCGGCCAGCACCCAATGGGTTACTTAATTATATTAAAAGAGTACAAAGAACAATGCATGCAAATTTCCCAGAACTGGATATAGCTGGTCAGCACAGAAAACTTAGTTATAAAATGTTTCTAACAATAGATAGATAGATAAATAAATAGATAGATAGATAGATAGATAGATAGATAGATAGATAGATAGATAGATAGATAGATAGATAGATAGACAGACAGACAGACAGATAGAACTCAAGTGTAACCTGCACAGAGCCCTGACCTCAACCCTGCTGAACACCATTCAAATGAATTGAAGCACCAATGGCGAGCCTGATCTTCTCATTCAACATCAGTACACTCACCTGATCCTTGGTCCCACTAGGCTGGTAGACCGATCCAGGCAGCCTCTTCTGTCTTGGGCTCCGGTGGTCTAAGAACTTCTGACATCACATCGAGTCCATTGACTTGCATTAAGGTGCCCATACACTGCTCGATTCTCGTACGAGAATCGCGGGAAATCCCGCGATTGTACGAGAATCGAGCAGTGTGAATGGAGACGTGCGACCGTTCCTACTGTACGGTCGCACGTCTTCCGTCGAAGATGTGAGGGCGCCAAGGGACTTTCCACAGCCGGAGCGTATGGGCAGAGAGGTGAGCGCTGTCCACTGCACTGAGGATTAGGTGAGTATATCTGCTTTATTTGACCCCCCCCTAGACAAAATGAGCACTTAAAGGAGAACTATGAGGTGAGTGCTTTTCACTCCCCTCATAGTTCTAGCCGACCTGTGACAATGAGACTGTCACAGGTCGGCTCAGTAGATCGGGAGGTGAGCGAACACATACCGGCGTTTGCTCAACCCTCGATCCTGTCAC